AAAGTGTCATAATAAATATATAATAATATATATATTCTTATAAAAGGTATTTAAATTTTCAAACTACTTTTTCTCATTAATTTTAGATTTTAAGAAAAAAAATTAACAAGCACTCGTGCAATACACAGGTGTTGTACTAGTTTTTAAATTATTCTATAAGTGCTGAAGATAAATAGAAGAAGTTACCATATTTTTCAGAATATTGTGCCTTCGGAGTATGAAGTTGCCTCAAATTTAATCATGCGAAGTCCACTCTCTAGTCCACTCTCCGTTTCACGATTTCCTCTCATATATCATGTGGTCTTTTGACACACGTATTGTTGATAGTGTTGGGTTCTAAAACATTTTTATTTGAAATTGGGGATAAATGATGTTTTCTTATGAATGGTTTATAGTCTGCTAATTTGGAGTCTTAACGAGTTTCAACAGGTACAACAAATACGTGACCCGAGGTTACAAGTTGAGATGGTGGGTGTCCCTGAAGAGCATTTATCTGGTCATGCATTCCACATGTATCACTTAACATCGCCCGATGAAACGTGAGACATCTTTCTACCCCTAATTATGAATTTATGATGATTGGACTTAGGGTATGTTTGGTAAAACTAGTTGTTACTAGTTACTTAAGCTCGTCTATAACTTATAAGTGATTTTCGAGCTTATAGCTTGAGTTATACTTAAAAATTAGTTTATATGACAAAAGTGTTTGGTAAAATTAGCTGATAAGCTAGCTGCAATAAAAATTTCAACGAACTAATTTGAAGAGAAGAACTACTCACAGAAGCTTATGGGCTCAAGCTTTTTATAATAGCTCGTCCTTCCAAACAAAGCTTATATGAATACAACCTAACCAAATAAGCTAGTTTGATAAGCTTTAAGCTAGCTTATTTGGTTACCAAACATAGCCTTAGTCATGAGAATCACGTCTCTAATACCTCCAATTTCTGCTTTGTTTTATTTTTTCGTCCGGGACAGTGTTTCATTTGAGTTTCAGCACAACGTTTGTGGTAGATCAATTTATGCTGAGGGCACTGTTGATGCCATACTTTTCCTAGCGAAGAAGGTAATCAGTTACAAATACTCAACCAGATAATACCTATGCTTGAGTGGGCAGCTTTTTGAATGTATCGACTCATCTATTGAAGTACAATCCGTAAGTCGAGGTTAATTATTTCTTCTATTTTTAGGTTGGTTCAAAAGCGGACAAGCGGATTTATGACATGATTGACGTTCTCCGTGAGGGTAATATGAGGTGAAGAATGTCGAATGGCTATATGAGGCGCAGAATGTCTTGCGCGGTCCGTATTGTTCTTGTAGCCCTTATCCTCCAATATTTTATTTCTAGTACTAAGAATCAAAATTTTCACTAGTATGTATCTTATGGATTATAGAATTGTAACGTGAAATCAGATCATTTAGCATATTCTGGCAAATGAGTATTGCCATTGATGGTTGTGACCGAAATGCATTTTGTGTTATCTCCTCAAACATATTATCTTGATTGCCAATGTTATGGCAATAGAAATGCATTGTAAAATTGTATGAGACATTTACTCTGAAAACTACCTCAACATAGATGTAACATCAACGTTCTCGTACATAGGATTTGAGAAAGGTGAAAAAGCTCCAACGAAAATCACAGAACCGACTGAACAACACTACCTTATTGGTTGGGATCTTCTATTACATTACAGTCCCAGAACATGATGGAAATCTCACATAGCACATTACAATATTTTGAACTCAAGCCTTATATGTCACCTCATTCTGACGATTACGTGTGACTTTTGAGGAAGTTGAGGATAATGCTGTTCACCTCATCGGGCGATTGCTCTTGAACAAAATGACTCCCGCCAGGCAAGAACATAATCTCCAAATCGGGCGCACACGATTTTGCTGTCCCACTCTTAATGTAGTCCTCGATCCCCGGAAATTTCAACACATAATCCTTCTCCCCCATAATCAACAGCGCAGGGACCTTAACTACAGGATCCACTATTTCATCCTGTGTGCCCATTGTCCTTAAAACAAAACAGGATTAGGATTAAGTCATAACAGATTGTATCAAACTAACCAAAAAAACAAAGAAAAAGAATATGAGAAAACTTGGTCTATGTGGATACATTATTTATTGCAAAATGCTAAAGTCCGTACGGGGACCATTCCTAAAAAAAAAAAAAACTCCAATGAAAAATGTCACGTCATCATTTATCGACTACATTTAAGGGTCCATATTGAGAGAACGGAATCATACCGTGACAGGAATGTAGCCATCCCCTTATTTATTACAATTTACATGAAATATGTGTAAGATAAATTGTTATTCTAAGATATAACTTTAATTATACTTGATATCAAATATTCAAATGTGTTTTTTAATAGTAAATATATATAATATAATGCTCTAGTAGTACCTGTAAGGGACCTGAAGGGCGGTCCGAAAACCCGACTTCTCGTACAAGGCTCCATAAGTCGCAAGGTCTTCCTCTGTAAACCAATGAGGCAAAGGATCGTTTGGTTCGACCAGGTCCATGATCTCCTGGTTTTCTTGGGCAATCGGTAATTCACTCTTGGAGAACATGATGTACACTTTCCGAACGACTGTTTTGGCATCGAATCGGCCGAAATCAGCCTCCGCACGACCGGGAATCTGTACAAACAAGACTTGTCATAAGCAGGTTAGGAAAACACTATAACTTGGGAATATTTGTTCTAGAAAAAAAAGTTAAGACTTGTAATAACAGTGAACCTTCCATCTTGAAATGTAGAAGCCTTCTGGGAGGCTGTGACTGTGTGTGGGCGGACGCGGGGGCATGAACGGTACACCCATCGTCCCAAATCCTAGTACTCGGTCCCGGTGGAGAAGGGTGAATATGGATAACACTAAAGCTCCAAAATCTTTAGCAATTAGAAAAACCTGCAACACATACACATAGTTTGCACACATATTTTTTCGTGAGTTTGTTACTGAAAAATGTTTGATTTTTATGAACAGAACATCGTTTGATACAAGATTATCGTACTTTTTAATCTAATTTTTAACATTAAATTGGACATGTTGATGTAATAATGTACCTTGGAGAGGTTTAGGGCAT